TTTGTGGTTATGTTAATTATATGTAATTTCCGAACACCAGCGCTCTCCCTCACCATATCCGAACACCAGCGCTCTCTCCCTCACCATACGAACACCAGCGCATCCTTCTCTCCCTCACCATCCACGAAGAACCACACAGCTCGCTCTTCTCCTTCCCTCACCATCCCATCTCAACTCCCCGCACCCGAACACCAGCGCTCTCTCCCCTCACCATCCATCCGAACACCAGCGCTCTCTCCCTCACCATCCGAACACCAGCGCTCTCTCCCTCACCATCCGAACACCAGCGATCTCTCTCCCTCACCAATCCGAACACCAGCGCCTCTCTCCCTCTCACCATCCCGAACACCAGCGCTCTCTCCCTCACCATCCGAACACCAGCGCTCTCTCCCTCACCCATCCGAACACACCACCAGCGCTCTCTCCCTCACCATCGCCGAACACCAGCGCTCTCTCCCTCACCATCCGAACACCAGCGCTCTCTCCCTCACCATCCGAACACCAGCGCTCTCTCCCTCACCATCCGAACACCAGCGCTCTCTCCCTCACCATCCGAACACCAGCGCTCTCTCCCTCACCATCCGAACACCAGCGCTCTCTCCCCACCATCCCGAACACCAGCGCTCTCTCCCTCACCATCCGAACACCAGCGCTCTCTCTCCTCACCATCCGAACACCAGCGCTCTCTCCCTCACCATCCGAACACCAGCGCTCTCTCCCTCACCATCCGAACAACACCGCGCTCTCTCCCTCACCATCCGAACACCAGCGCTCTCTCTCCTCACCATCCGAACACCAGCGCTCTTCTCCCCTCACACCATCGAACACCAGCGCTCTCTCCCTCACCATCCGAACACCAGCGCTCTCTCCCTCACACCATCCGAACACCAGCGCTCTCTCCCTCACCATCCGAACACCAGCGCTCTCTCCCTCACCATCCGAAACACCAGCGCTCTCTCCCTCACCATCCGAACACCAGCGCTCTCTCCCTCACCATTCCGAACACCAGCGCTCTCTCCCTCACCAGCACCACCTCTCTCCCTCTCACCATCCGAACACCAGCGCTCTCTCCCTCACCATCCGAACACCAGCGCTCTCTCCCTCACCATCCGAACACCAGCGCTCTCTCCCTCACCATCCGAACACCAGCGCTCTCTCCCTCACCATCCGAACACCAGCGCTCTCTCCCTCACCATCCGAACACCAGCGCTCTCTCCCTCACCATACCGAACACCAGCGCTCTCTCCCCTCACCATCCGAACACCAGCGCTCTCTCCCTCACCATCCGAACACCAGCGCTCTCTCCCTCACCATCCGAACACCAGCGCTCTCTCCCTCACCATCCGAACACCAGCGCTCTCTCCCTCACCATGCGAACATGAGTGGGCCAGCACTCAGATACCAAGAGGTCTCTCCACTCCACGTAAACGCCATCAACCTCCTCTCCAGACTACATTCCAGCCTCTCCGAGCGACAGTTAATTGTTCCCGCTTGGCCCTCTTCCACCAATGACCAGGAGCCACATTCACGAAGCAGTTACGCAAGCACACATCTTTTCTCAATCTTTGGCGGCTTTGTTTACAATTATTAAACAGTTCATGAGCTCCGAAGCACCAGGAGGCTGTTTATAACAACAACAACAGTGATTGGCAAGTTTTCATGCTTGAAATGTTTAATTAATGTAACCAAAGCCGTCAAAGATTGAGGAAAGATGTACACGTTCGTAAGTACTTGCGTAACTGCTTCGTGAATGTTTAGTCGTTGCAAGCAAGAATTTTAGCTGTATCTTTTGCTCTTGTTTACATCCCGTTTAGATTATGCGCTTCAGTTTTGGTCACCATATTATAGAATGGACATAAAACGCGTCCAATAGAGGATGACAAAGTTAATCCAGCAAATTAGAAACCTGTCATATGAAGAGAGTAAAAATTAAGAATTTACGTTATCTAGAAAAGCCAAAAATCATGAGTGATGTACATGATGAATGGGGCAATAGGAGGGGCTGCCTCGTAGGACCAATAGAATGGTCCCATGCTTTTTTAGGACTCGTATGGACCAATAGGAGCTGCCCTCATATGGACCAATAGGAGCTGCCTCGTATGGACCAATAGGAGCTGCCTCGTATGGACCAATAGGAGCTGCCTCGTATGGACCAATAGGAGCTGCCTCGTATGGACCAATAGTTATGGACCAGTGAGCCCTCGTATGGACCAATAGGAGCTGCCTCGTATGGACCAGTAGGAGCTGCCTCGTATGGACCAATAGGAGCTGCCTCGTATGGACCAATAGGAGCTGCCTCGTATGGGCCAATAGGAGCTGCCTCGTATGGGCCAATAGGAGCTGCCTCGTATGGACCAATAGGAGCTGCCTCGTATGGACCAATAGGAGCTGCCTCGTATGGACCAATAGGAGCTGCCTCGTATAATAGGAGCTGCCTCGTATGGACCAATAGGAGCTGCCTCGTATGGACCAATAGGAGCTGCCTCGTATGGACCAATAGGAGCTGCCTCGTATGGACCAATAGGAGCTGCCTCGTATGGACCAATAGGAGCTGCCTCGTATGGACCAATAGGAGCTGCCTCGTATGGACCAATAGGAGCTGCCTCGTATGGACCAATAGGAGCTGCCTCGTATGGACCAATAGGAGCTGCCTCGTATGGACCAATAGGAGCTGCCTCGTATGGACCAATAGGAGCTGCCTCGTATGGACCAATAGGAGCTGCCTCGTATGGTCCAATAGGAGCTGCCTCGTATGGACCAATAGGAGCTGCCTCGTATGGACCAATAGGAGCTGCCTCGTATGGACCAATAGGAGCTGCCTCGTATGGACCAATAGGAGCTGCCTCGTATGGACCAATAGGAGCTGCCTCGTATGGACCAATAGGAGCTGCCTCGTATGGACCAATAGGAGCTGCCTCGTATGGACCAGTAGGAGCTGCCTCGTATGGACCAATAGCAGCTGCCTCGTATGGACCAGTAGGAGCTGCCTCGTATGGACCAGTAGGAGCTGCCTCGTATGGACCAGTAGGAGCTGCCTCGTATGGACCAGTAGGAGCTGCCTCGTATGGACCAATAGGAGCTGCCTCGTATGGACCAGTAGGAGCTGCCTCGTATGGACCAATAGGAGCTGCCTCGTATGGACCTGTAGGAGCTGCCTCATACAAGCAGTGTGTGGTTTCTCTCCTTCCTATCTTCTCCTTTTCTCCCTCACCCCCCCTCTTCTCCCTCACACCCCCCTTCTCCCTCACCCCCCCCCTTCTCCCTCACCCCCCCCTTCTCCCTCACCCCCCCCCTTCTCCCTCACCCCCCCCTTCTCCCTCCCCCCCCCCTTCTCCCTCACCCCCCCCCCTTCTCCCTCACCCCCCTTCTCCCTCACCCCCCCTTCTCCCTCACCCCCCCTTCTCCCTCACCCCCCCCCTTCTCCCTCACCCCCCCTTCTCCCTCACCCCCCCTTCTCCCTCACCCCCCCTTCTCCCTCACCCCCCTTCTCCCTCACCCCCCTTCTCCCTCACCCCCCCTTCTCCCTCACCCCCCCCCTTCTCCTCACCCCCCCCTTCTCCCTCACCCCCCCTTCTCCCTCACCCCCCCCCTCTCCCTCACCCCCCCCCTTCTCCCTCACCCCCCTTTCTCCCTCACCCCCCTTCTCCCTCACCCCCCTCTTTTCCCTCACCCCCCTCTTTTCCCTCACCCCCCTCTCCCTCACCCCTTTTCCCTCACCTCCCTCTCCCTCACCCCCTCTCCCTCTCCTCCTCTCCTTCATTCCATCTCCTCTCTCTCAATCCATCTCCTCTCTCTCTCAATCCATCTCCTCTCTCTCAATCCATCTCCTCTCTCTCATCCCCTCTCCCTCATCCTCTCATCCCCTCTCCCTCATCCTCTCATCCCCTCTCCCTCATCCTCTCATCCCCTCTCCCTCATCCTCTCATCCCCTCTCCCTCATCCTCTCCGCCATTGTCCCCCTACCTCTCCCCCTCTCACTTCGATCCCCACTCAGGGACTGAACCCCACAATTCATTTAGCTAAGCAAGTTACAATCTTGATGAGCTAGTTACAAAATTCAGTATAAGTTGTCACATCAACAATGGGTTCGAGATCGACCACAAGTACAGTTTCCAAATTAAGCAACTGACATATGTGAAGAGCTAGTGTCAACAATTGATATGTTTGTCCTGCACACCGCCCCCCATCCAGTGGGCAGCGGTGGATAGGTTACAATCATAGTTACTACGAAGCACTGCAGAAACTGTTATAAATTCTATGGGAAAACAAATTCACTCCTAGTGAAAGTCACTTGTGGTTGCTATAATGCCGGTTTCAAACTCAGATTTGCTAATAAAATAGTCTTGAATTTATTTATTTATATATACAAGAGTTTGTGAGGATACATAGCATGGTGTTAACATTCTTGTAAAGCCACTAGTACGCGCAGCATTTCGGGCAGGTCCTTAATCTAACATATAATTTTAAGTAGGTAAAGTCTAGCAAAATTTATAAAGTGATAACAGATACATTGCAAGAAAAAAAATGAGACGAGAGAGATTAGTAGGTATATTAAAGCACATCGGTAGCTCTGATTGATTGCATTGACAGCTTGATTGGTAATTTAACAAAGATTAATAGGCACAATGCAGCATATTGATAGCACATATAAGAAGGCAGCAATGATCACAATGGTAAAGTTGTTTGAATTAAGTACATAAAGATTGGGGGATTGGGTAGCACTAGATACAGTGCAATTTTACAGCACAAGGTAGGAAACTATGAAGATGAAATTAGGTACTTTTTGTTTTTGTTTTTGAGTGAGGCAAAAGTTGGACAGGTTTTCATTTCATTAGGGAGTGAGTTCCATAGACCAGTTACATTCTTGTACAGCCATTAGTATGCATAGCATTTCGGGAAAGTCCTTAATTCTAAAAATCCCAGGATCCACTGTTGGGTTAAACAGAGGCTACAGTTGAGAACTGGCACCCAGTCAATCAACCCGGCCTGGATACAAACCCAGGAAAAAGCGCTCACGAAACACTAGGCGAGCATCTTACTACTATGCCACGGGGACTGCTTTTATCATATGTGCATACTGCTTATTGCACATGTGACACATGTCATATGTGCTTATGACATGCAATCTCACCATTGTAATCACTGCTATCAACTTGTATCATAGGTGTTATGTTGAATGCAAATTATGCTACAATGTGTCTATTAATAATCCACAAATTATGCTACAATGTGTCTATTAATAATCCACAAATTATGCTACAATGTGTCTATTAATAATCCACAAATTATGCTACAATGTGTCTATTAATAATCCACAAATTATGCTACAATGTGTCTATTAATAATCCACAAATTATGCTACAATGTACCTGTTATAATCCTTAAATTTTCTTACAATTTACTTATTAATATTTACAATGTACCTATTAATATTCTTCAAATTTTGCTACAAATTACTTATCTTATACTGTTACATTTATAACCTGCCCGAAATGTTATGCATGTTAGTGGCTTTACAAGAATGTAAACTTCAATGATCTGTACTCTCATAAACCTACTGTACCTTCTTGTATATAAATAAATAGTCAATATTTTATTTCTTCATTGCAGCTGTTGATTGGCTACGAGAGTGGCCAACTGGTGTTCTGGGACCTCAAGACTCGAACAGCCGAAGTCCGCTTCCAATGTGCCGAACCTCTCAAGTCCATCAGTTGGCACCATGAGGGCAAGCAGTTCATGTGCTCACACACAGATGGCTCTCTTACCACCTGGGCCATCAAGCAAACTGGCCCTAAACCCTCCTCGGTCATATTTCCACACGGTGAGCACAGGGGGGTTCGATCCCACTTAGTGAATTTCCAACCTATCACTTGGGTTAGAAACCTACGTGTTTATATTTCCCTTCAGTTTTCAAGTTTTAGCCTCTGTTGTTAGTTTGTTATTTTAGGTTATGTTGGTTTGTTCACATTATGTCAGATTACATGGTTACACTAGGTTATGTTAGGATAGGTTATGGTAGGTTACAGTAGGTTCTATTAACTTAGGTTATGTAAGATTAGATCAGGTTAGGTTAGGTTTTGTTAGGTTTTGTTTGGTTAGGTCAGGTTAGGTTATGTTACGTTGTTAGTTATTTTGCTGTTGCGGGAGCTACAGTATCTGATTTTATCAATTATTTATGTTAGCTTTCTATTGATATTTCAGCTTTAGTGCCATGTTATACTAAAACTTCATATGCGACTATTTTAGAGAAAGGAAATTTTTTATTTTTATTTATTTATTAATATATACAAGAGTTCTTACATTTTTGTAAAACATATCCATAAGTATGGATACTTGTACACAAGTACGAAATAGACAAATCCTTTTTTGCCTAGCGTGTATCGTTGATAATGGCAGGAAAAATGATATTGTGTAGGTCATGGACTTGGATAAACTGGACTATGGGGTGAATACTGTGCCATATATTTTCAGTATATCATGATATAAAGTTATATTTTGCATTGTTCCTTTACCATTTTGGAAACTATACCAAAAATCTTTATTTGGTAATTACAGTCTTGTAAAGCCACTAGCACGCGCAGCGTTTCGGGCAGGTCCTTAATCTAAGAAAATTTTAAGGAGGTAAATACTTGCAAAATTTATAGACAAAAAAAATGATAACAGATTACATGGAATGAAAAAAAAAAAGATGAGAGAAAATTATAGGTACAGTATATTAAAGCACATAGGTAGCTATGATTGATTGCAATGACAGCTTAAAATGGTAGTTGACAACAAATTGGTAGGCACAATACAGCAGAAACAATATAAGATTGGTTGCAATGACAGCTTGAATGGTAGTTGACAAAAATTGGTAGTCACAATACAGCATATGGCTAGCACATAAAAGAAGACAGCAATGAACACAATGATAAGGTTGTTTGATATTACATAAAAATTAGGAGATTGGGTAACACTAGGTACAGAGCAAATTTAAAGCTCAGTGTAGGAAACTAAATAGATGAAGTTAGGTACTTTTTGGTTTTGCTTTTAAATAAGGCAAGAGTTTTACAGTTTTTCAATTCACTAGGGAGTGAGTTCCATAGACTAGGTCCCTTAATTTGCATAGAGTGTTTACACAGATTAAGTTTGACCCTGGGGATATCAAAGAGATATTTATTCTCTGGTGTGGTGATAATGGGTCCTATTACATCTGTCCAGGGAGAGTTTCAGAGCCTGGTTTGCATTTAAGAACAGGGTTTTGTAAATGTAGTTGACACAAGAGAATGTGTGGAGGGAGTTAATATTTAGCAAGTTTAGAGATTTAAACAAGGGAGCTGAGTGTTGTCTGAAAGCAGAGTTAGTTATTATTCTGATAGCAGATTTTGCTGTGTGATGATGGGCTTAAGGTGGTTTGCAGTGGTAGACCCCCATGCACAGATACCATAATTAAGATAGGGGTAGATTAGTGCATAATATAGTGAGAGGAGAGCAGAGTTAGGAACATAATATCTGATTTTGGAGAGTATACCAACTGTCTTAGAGACTTTCTTAGTTATGTGTTGAATGTGGGTGCTGAAGTTGAGTCTCTTGTCTAGGAATAGGCCAAGAAACTTGCCATCATTTTTATTACTGATGTTAATGTTGTCTATCTGTAGCTGAATTGCATTTGATGATGATGCATTTATCCTATCACCTATTACAAATCTTAGGTGAAATAAATCTCTATAACTACAACCCGCCCTTGACCTAAGTCCATTCCATCCAGTGGTCGACCCCAAAGACGCATTCATCAATTTTAACATGCTGTTCACTCAACACGGGAATTTTCTCAAATATAAATTAATATTATAATATACAGTATTAGCATATTGTGCATATATAGGCATAGTTTAGGTTAGGTGTTTAGGTTCTGTTGACGATTATTTGAATTTGTAGTACGTGGGTGAAGCATTTACAGCGTTGTGGTTTGAATAAAATTGGTCAATGAAGCACTTGTTCAGGAAGTGTTCGAACATCATCAGTTGTGAGTCGTGTGTAAACCGTTTTTCATTTATAAACAAGGGGGTTTGGCGGGTGCATAGAATCACTTTTAGGTTATTATTTGGGATAAATAATCCTTAGATGAAACTTTTCCTTATGAATCATTGATGAGTATCCGGTAGTATAGTTCACATGTCATAAGATCTTGATGAGAAAATATACATCCAATTACAGGAGAAATGCAGTATTGTTTCTTCCTTTGAGTGTGTAATGGTAGTTTGTGTATTCTTTGCAGCAAAAACAAACAAGGAGGGCAAACAAGAGACTTGTAAATCCATACAAAAAGTGGAGTGGAAATCCAGCAAAACAGGGTAAGTGGATTTGTATTACTGTATATGTATTCAATTAGGATAAGTTGATTGTATTATATGTATACAATCAGGGTGAGTGAACTGTACTAGATGTATACAATCAGGGTGAGTGAACTGTACTAGATGTATACAATCAGGGTGAGTGAACTGTACTAGATGTATACAATCAGGGTGAGTGAACTGTACTAGATGTATACAATCAGGGTGAGTGAACTGTACTAGATGTATACAATCAGGTTGAGTGAATTGTACTAGATGTGTGTATACAATCCAGTAAGTGATTATATTAAGTACATTGTATTAAGACTCATACATTCAGAATAAGTGGATTGTATTGATGTATAAAATCCAGATAAATGGGATGTACTGTATAAAGTTCATGAATTCATGGCAGGTGATTTTGATTCAAATTTGTGTGTTTAATAATGCACACTTGCACAAAAGACCTGTGAGGAGAGGCTGGAGGTGTTAAATATAGCTAGACAATTAGATAAAAAAAAAATTCAAATTCAAATTCAAATGTTTATTTAGGTAAAGTACATACATACAAGGGGTGATACAGATATTAATGAATTTATAGATAGAGCTAGTACATACAATGCCTAAAGCCACTATTATGCAAAGCGTTTCGGGCAGAAACGGACAGATTACTTGATCGGGCAGATTACTTGATCAGTCGCTTGGGAAGTGACTTGGGGCCTGACGGCTGAGTGGACAGTGCTAGGCATTCGTAGTCCTAGGGTTCCGGGTTTGATCCCAGCGGAGGTGGAGACAAATGGGTGAAAGGATTTTTTTACCCTAATGCTCCTGTTCACCTAACAGTAAATAGGTACCAGGGAGTTAGACAGCTGCTACAGGCTGCTTCCTGGGGGATGTGTAGCAAAAAGGAGGCCTGGTCGAGGACTGGGCCGCGGGGACGCTAAGCCCCGAAATCATCTCAAGATAACCTCAAGAAGATCATCACATACAAAATTATGATGGGAATTAGTAGTTTTTTAATTAGCTTTATAGATAATAATGATCATCAATTCAAATTAAGAAAAACATGTTAAAAAACATCCTATTGGCCTACAAGCAATTGCCTGTTGGACCAAGTTATCACAAGTCAAGCCTGGCCTCGGGCTAGGCCTGCGTTATGTTATAGCATTGTATTAACCCCTTACACTGCTCCCATATTGTTAATTAAAATTAAATAGTTGCACCATATAGTAGTTATTGTAAGAGTAATGTTATAATTAGTGTTTTGGGAGGATAGGAAGCCTGTTCTCAGGCTCTTTGTGGTTACCCTAGACCAACGATTGACCTTTCCTGGGATGCATTCCCTCATCAGTTGCCTAACTCTGGGCTACCTATTTTACTGCCAGGTGAACAGTGGCATCAGGTGAAAGGAAACATGCCCACCTATTTCTGTTTTGCCTGGGAATTAAACTCGGAGCTCTCTGTTTTGAATCATTTGAGAACCTGATATAAGATTACTGTTATTATAGCGGTGTAGATGTTGTTGTTGATAGACCAAAGTCACTGTAACGCAATGTGTCTACTGAGAGGTAATTACGTAGAAGTAAGGATGCGTGTCAAGATTTAGGGTCCTGTAGCACAGTGGTCTAAGTCCTCAGCTCACAATTGCAGGACCTGGGTTTGATCCCCCAGAGGAGACAGAAATGGTTGGACATGTTTCCTTTCCCTTGATACCTCTGCTCACCTAGTTATAAAAAAAAAAGGTACCTTGGAGTTAGGCAAGTGTTGTGGGTTACTTCATGGGAAAGTTTAATAGCTGGCCTAAGATGACCTCGATAAGTCTAGGGACAGTTAAGCCTCCTGCCCTTGACAATGGGACTCACTGTAATGTGTGAGGTTACATGATTTTTGCATTTGTGAGATTGTTTGCGTGGTAATATTTGCAATCGGTACTACACAACTTTACGATTATGAGACTGCCAAGTTGCTGATCAGCTGGTGATATCGCACGATTTTGCATTTGAGAGGTGGTTTGCATGCCGATTTTCTGCAAGTCCACTGACCACAGCCTTTTATTTTGCAGAGAGTCTTTTGTCATATTCTCCGGAGGGCTGGCAAACGACCGAGCAGGGCGGACGCCAAGTATCACCGTCATCCATGGCAAGACAACGACGGTTCTCGAGATGGAGCACAATGTTGTTGACTTCGTTACACTCTGTGAAACTCCTTATGCTAGTGGTATGTTGTGTTCCCCAAAGTATCTTAAACTCTAATTTTATATTTCTTATGCAGGGTCAGCATTTGCTTTATTAAGAGGGTTTAAGTCTTAAAGGATTTTTAAAATATATGACTTTCTTCATGAATATTTTCACAAAATTTGATTTTTAATTTTGTTATGTTGATGCTCATTAAATTAACATCTAAATTTTGTTAAAAAAAAATTGTATGATTTGACTTTGAATTCAATGTTTACTGCTTTTGAGTATATTTTGATTGCACTGTGTCGTACATAGAGGTGTATACCAACACCAGTATTTTGACCAATGCTGGTACCGATACCATCTTGAGTACTGGTATAGCAACGGAACACTGATGCCGATGCATTTGTATTTCTGGTTGTAGGTGAAGTCTTATATTCACACACAGTCATACTTTTCTGAGTTTCAAGTAATTTAATGATTTCATTCTGAGATTCATTGTATTTGTGAAACCAAACTCTTTGAAAATTATGTGTATGTCTTTCGTCCCCCCCCCCATCCCTCCTCCCCCCTCATCCTTTCTGTATGTCGCTGTGTTTTGTGGACCCGTTGTGAGCATTTTTTAATGCTTGATTTACATGCTGATTGTTTTGTATTGTGTAATGCTTCTTCTCAAACTTCAGTTCAGTCAACTTAAGTTTCTTCAAGTATTTTAAGTGGTCAGGTATTTAGGTAATGTTTTTAAGTATTTTCTGTGGAAAGTCTACAGCTTCCTGCACTTACGTAACATGCACACGTAACATTGAAATCATTAAATTCTCTTGTCGAATTCTCTGGCTAAGGGTATACAAATATTACAAGTTCTTGAAATTACAAAAATAGACTTGTTTGAAGACAACATCATGCCTGTAAGAGCCTAATCAGATTCACTCTGAGATTAATGTTAGCCTTCATAGTCTAATTTTACTGCTGGCATTTTTGACAGTGGTTTAATTAGCCCTGGTGAAAAAGCTGTCGCGTGTGTGTGTGTGTGAGGCCAGAATTTACCCAAGGGATACCATCTCTAAAGGTCTCAAATGGGGACAAGAAGCCCTGAGGGCCACCATCTTTGGTGTCTTTGACAGAGGGCTACCATATATAGTGTCCTTGACAAGGGGACAGGATGCCTCCGAGGGCCACCATCTGTAGTGTCCCCATTCCAATGTATATCACCACCATCTATAGTGTCCAATGAACATCAAAAAGCCCCTCAGGGCATCTTGTGCCCTGAGGGGCACATTTCTGGTGGCCCTGATGAGGACAGGATGCCCTGAGGGCCACCATCTTTTGTGGCCTCGGAGGATACAGGAAGCTGGCATTTTGTCAAAGGCCTCCATTATTCCTGAGGATTTTTTTCCAATGTGTGTAATTACCTAAGTGTAATTACCTAAGTGTAGTTACAGGATGAGAGCTACGCTCGTGGTGTCCCGTCTTCCCAGCACTCTTTGTCATATAATGCTTTGAAACTACTGACGGTCTTGGCCTCCACCACCTTCTCACTTAACTTGTTCCAACCGTCTACCACTCTATTTGCGAAGGTGAATTTTCTTATATTTCTTCGGCATCTGTGTTTAGCTAGTTTAAATCTATGACCTCTTGTTCTTGAAATTCCAGGTCTCAGGAAGTCTTCCCTGTCGATTTTATCAATTCCTGTAACTATTTTGTATGTAGTGATCATATCACCTCTTTTTCTTCTGTCTTCTAGTTTTGGCATATTTAATGCTTCTAACCTCTCCTCGTAGCTCTTGCCCTTCAGTTCTGGGAGCCACTTAGTAGCATGTCTTTGCACCTTTTCCAGTTTGTTGATGTGCTTCTTAAGATATGGGCACCACACAACAGCTGCATATTCTAGCTTTGGCCTAACAAAAGTCATGAACAATTTCTTTAGTATATCGCCATCCATGTATTTAAATGCAATTCTGAAGTTAGAAAGCATAGCATAGGCTCCTTGCACAATATTCTTTATGTGGTCCTCAGGTGATAGTTTTCTATCTAGAACCACTCCTAGATCTCTTTCTTTATCAGAATTCTTTAAAGATTTCTCACATAATATATAGGTTGTGTGGGGTCTATGTTCTCCTATTCCACATTCCATAACATGACATTTATTAACATTAAATTCCATTTGCCAAGTGGTGCTCCATATACTTATTTTGTCCAGGTCATCTTGAAGGGCATGACAGTCATCTAAATTTCTTATCCTTCCTATTATCTTAGCATCATCAGCAAACATGTTCATATAATTCTGTATACCAACTGGTAGATCATTTATGTACACAATAAACATCACTGGTGCAAGAACTGAACCCTGTGGTACTCCACTTGTGACATTTCTCCATTCTGATACATTGCCTCTGATTACTGCCCTCATTTTTCTATCAGTCAGAAAATTTTTCATCCATGATAGAAGCTTACCTGTCACCCCTCCAATATTTTCCAGTTTCCAGAACAACCTCTTATGTGGAACTCTGTCGAAAGCCTTTTTTAGGTCCAGATAGATGCAGTCAACCCAACCATCTCTTTCCTGTAATATCTCTGTGGCTCGATCATAGAAACTGAGTAAATTCGATACACAGGATCTTCCAGATCGAAAACCATACTGTCTGTCTGATATTATATCATTTCTCTCTAGGTGTTCTACCCATTTAGTTTTGATTAGTTTTTCCAATACTTTCACTATTACACTTGTCAATGATACAGGTCTATAATTGAGGGGGTCTTCCCTGCTGCCACTTTTGTAGATTGGAACTATGTTAGCCTGTTTCCACCCGTCTGCTACGATTCCTGTACACAGGGATGCCTGAAAGATCAGGTGAAGTGGAATGCTGAGCTCAGATGCACATTCTCTCAGAACCCATGGTGAAACGCCATCTGGGCCAGCTGCTTTGTTCTTACCGAGCTCCTTGAGCATTTTTTCCACTTCGTCTCTAGACACCTCTGTGTGTTCTATGTTGTTCTCTGGAATTCTTATTGTATCTGGTTCCCTAAAGATTTCATTTTGTACAAACACACTTTGGAACTTTTCGTTTAGTGTTTCACACATTTCCTTTTCATCTTCCGTGAATCTATTTCCCATTTTCAACCTCTGAATATTATCCTTTACCTGCAATTTGTTGTTTATGAATTTATAGAATAGACCTGGTTCTGTTTTACATTTGTCCACAATCCCTTTTTCAAAATTTCTTTCTGCCTCTCTCCTCACTGCCGTGTAGTTGTTTCTCGCATCTTTGTATCGCTGGTATGTTTGGGGGTTCGGCCTCTTCCTGTATTGATTCCATTTTTGTGTCTTTCGGTCTCTAGCCCTCTCGCAATTTCTATTGAACCAATCCTGTTTCCTAGTTCTGCATCTCTGTTTTGGTATAAATTTTTTTGTGCCTTTATCATATATTTCACAAAACTTGCCATACATCTCATTCACTTCCTTGCCTAGCATCAAGTCTGTCCAATTATACTCACTAAAAAAATTTCTAAGGTCACCATAATGTCCTCTCCTGAAGTCTGGTTTTTCAACTGCTTCAACCTCCTTATTTTCTTCCAGCTTATAACGCATTGCATACTTTATTCCCAAAAAGACATGGTCACTTTTACCCAAGGGAGGAAGGTACTGAATGTCAAATATCTCTTCCTCCTTCCTAGTAAATATCAAATCTAGCATGGAGGGAACGTCCCCTTCCCTCATCCTCGTAGCTTGTTTAACATGTTGATACAAGAATGTTTCCAGGATGAGGTCTACAAATTTACAGGTCCAAAAATCTTCTGTTTTAGCTTCATATGCTTCCCAGTCTATGGATTTCAAGTTGAAGTCACCGACTATCAACAGTCGTGATCTATCGTTATCCGCTCTCGCTATAATCTCTCTCATTATTGTTATAAGACCTTCACGTTTACTATCTAGCTCCTCCTTTGACCATGTGCTGCTTGGCGGTGGACTATATGCATTTATCATCATTAGTTTATCATCCTCATAGCAGATCTCTAGTGCTATTATGTCAACTTCTTGTGGATTGGCAGTCATTATTTCCTTCACCTTTAGGTGTTCTTTTACCAGCACAGCAACGCCACCGCCTTTCCTAATTTTTCTGTCCCGTCTCCAAATTGAGTAGCCCCTTGGGAATATGACCTCATTTAAAATTACATCTTCAAGTTTTGTCTCCGTGAGTGCAACAATGTCTGGTGTCTGCAGCTGTATTACATCACTTAACTCCAGTATCTTCGATCTCACTCCATCTATGTTGGTGTATGCAATCTTCAGGAACTTGTTCCCCCTCTCCTTATTCTTTATGTACCACTTTACTGGTTTGCCTACCTATCTAGTAGCTATGTATGTATTATCTACCTATGTATGTATTATATATATGTATTATCTACCTATGTATGTATGTATGTATGTATGTATGTATGTATGTATGTATGTATGTGTATATGTGTGTATATATGTGTGTGTGTGTGTGTGTGTGAGATCTTTCAAAAGAAGATAGAGAGAAGCTGAAACTGAACCTCGCCGAGGCAAAACATTTAAATGAGAGCAGGAATGAAGAAGAAATAAATTCTTTTTTCTACAAAGTGATAGGGGTAGGCAAACCAAAAGTGGTACATAAAGGCAAACCAACAAAATCAATAGAGAGAGGGGGAGTGAAGAATAAGGAGAGGGGGAACAAGTTCCTGAAGATTGCATACACCAACATAGATGGAGTGAGATCAAAGATACTGGAGTTAAGCGATGTAATACAGCTGCAGACACTAGACATTGTTGCACTCACGGAGACAAAACTTGAAGATGTAATTTTAAATGAGGTCATATTCCCAAGGGGCTACTCAATTTGGAGACGGGACAGAAAAATTAGGAAAGGCGGTGGCGTTGCTGTGCTGGTAAAAGAACACCTAAAGGTGAACGAAATAATGACTGCCAATCCACAAGAAGTTGACATAATAGCACTAGAGATCTGCCATGAGGATGATAAACTAATGATAATAAATGCATATAGTCCACCGCCAAGCAGCACATGGTCAAAGGAGGAGCTAGATAGTAAACGTGAAGGTCTTATAACAATAATGAGAGAGATTATAGCGAGAGCGGATAACGATAGATCACGACTGTTGATAGTCGGTGACTTCAACTTGAAATCCATAGACTGGGAAGCATATGAAGCTAAAACAGAAGATTTTTGGACCTGTAAATTTGTAGACCTCATCCTGGAAACATTCTTGTATCAACATGTTAAACAAGCTACGAGGATGAGGGAAGGGGACGTTCCCTCCATGCTAGATTTGATATTTACCAGGAAGGAGGAAGAGATATTTGACATTCAGTACCTTCCTCCCTTGGGTAAAAGTGACCATGTCTTTTTGGAAATAAAGTATGCAATGCGTTATAAGCTGGAAGAAAATAAGGAGGTTGAAGCAGTTGAAAAACCAGACTTCAGGAGAGGACATTATGGTGACCTTAGAAATTTTTTTAGTGAGTATATTTGGACAGACTTGATGCTAGGCAAGGAAGTGAATGAGATGTATGCCAAGTTTTGGGAAATATATGATAAAGGCACAAAAAAATTTATACCAAAACAGAGATGCAGAACTAGGAAACAGGATTGGTTCAATAGAAATTGCGAGAGGGCTTGAGACCAAAAGACACAAAAATGGAATCAATACAGGAAGAGGCCGAACCCCCAAACATACCAGCGATACAAAGATGCGAGAAACAACTACACGGCAGTGAGGAGAGAGGCAGAAAGAAATTTTGAAAAAGGGATTGCAGACAAATGTAAAACAGAACCAGGTCTATTCTATAAATTCATAAACAACAAATTGCAGGTAAAGGATAATATTCAGAGGTTGAAAATGGGAAATAGATTCACGGAAGATGAAAAGGAAATGTGTGAAACACTAAACGAAAAGTTCCAAAGTGTGTTTGTACAAAATGAAATCTTTAGGGAACCAGATACAATAAGAATTCCAGAGAACAACATAGAGCACATAGAGGTGTCTAGAGACGAAGTGGAAAAAATGCTCAAGGAGCTCGGTAAGAACAAAGCAGCTGGCCCAGATGGCGTTTCACCATGGGTTCTGAGAGAATGTGCATCTGAGCTCAGCATTCCACTTCACCTGATCTTTCAGGCATCCCTGTGTACAGGAATCGTAGCAGACGTGTGGAAACAGGCTAACATAGTTCCAATCTACAAAAGTGGCAGCAGGGAAGACCCCCTCAATTATAGACCTGTATCATTGACAAGTGTAATAGTGAAAGTATTGGAAAAACTAATAAAAACTAAATGGGTAGAACACCTAGAGAGAAATGATATAATATCAGACAGACAGTATGGTTTTCGATCTGGAAGATCCTGTGTATCGAATTTACTCAGTTTCTATGATCGAGCCACAGAGATATTACAGGAAAGAGATGGTTGGGTTGACTGCATCTATCTGGACCTAAAAAAGGCTTTCGACAGAGTTCCACATAAGATGTTGTTCTGGAAACTGGAAAATATTGGAGGGGTGACAGATAAGCTTCTATCATGGATGAAAAGTTTTCTGACTGATAGAAAAATGAGGGTAGTAATCAGAGGCAATGTATCGGAATGGAGAAATGTCACAAGTGGAGTACCACAGGGTTCAGTTCTTGCACCAGTGATGTTTATTGTGTACATAAATGATCTACCAGTTGGTATACAGAATTATATGAACATGTTTGCTGATGATGCTAATATCTTAGCATCATAGGAAGGAAGGATAAGAAACATAGATGATTGTCATGCCCTTCAAGAAGACCTGGACAAAATAAGTATATGGAGCACCACTTGGCAAATGGAATTTAATGTTAATAAATGCCATGTTATGGAATGTGGAATAGGAGAACATTGACCCCACATAACCTATAAATTATGTGAGAAATCTTTAAAAAATTCTGATAAAGAAAGAGATGTAGGAGTGGTTCTAGATAGAAAACTATCACCTGAAGACCACATAAAGATCGTTGTGCGAGGAGCCTATGCCACGCTTTCTAACTTCAGAATTGCATTTAAATACATGAATGGCGAAATACTAAAGAAATTGTTCACGACTTTTATTAGGCCAAAGCTAGAATATGCAGCGGTTGTGTGGTGCCCATATCTTAAGAAACACATCAACAAACTGGAAAAGGTGCAAAGACATGCTACTGAGTGGCTCCCAGAACTGAAGGGCAAGAGCTACGAGGAGAGGTTAGAGGCATTAAATATGCCAAAACTAGAAGACAGAAGAAAAAGAGGTGATATGATCACTACGTACAAAATAGTAACAGGAATTGATAAAATCAATAGGGAAGATTTCCCGAGACCTGGAACTTCAAGAACAAGAGATCATAGATTTAAACGAGCCAGTCGGGCGAGCGGATAGCACACTGGACTTGTGATCCTGTGGTCTCGGATTCGATCCCGGGTGCCGGCGAGAAACAATGGGCAGAGTTTCTTTCACCCTATGCCCCTGTTACCTAGCAGTAAAATAGGTAACTGGGTGTTAGTCAGCTGTCACGGGCTGCTTCCTGGGGGTGGAGGCCTGGTCGAGGACCGGGCTGCGGGGACACTGAAAAGCCCCGAAATCATCTCAAGATAACCTCAAGATGGCTAAACACAGATGCCGAAGAAATGTAAGAAAATTCACTTTCGCAAACAGAGTGGTAGACGGTTGGAATAAGTTAGGTGAGAAGGTGGTGGAGGCCAAGACTGTCAGTAGTTTCAAAGCATTATATGACAAAGAGTGCTGGGAAGATGGGACACCACGAGCGTAGCTCTCATCCTGTGTAACTACCCTTGGGTAATTACACACTCACTCACTCTGGCTCCCTGTCCCTCAACACAATGAATGAATGAATTATTATTATTATTATTATTATTATTATTATTATTATTATTATTATTATTATTATTATTATTGTTATATCGTGTCACCACTGTCACCAAAACCCCCATAATATTTCCTTTCTTGAATATCCTCAGGTGTAATAGCCGCCTGTTTTTGTATCACCCTAAGAATAAAGGAAGCTACAGAAGGCCTGTTGATCCATACAAGGCATCTTCTGTATAAATCCAGACTCATTCATGTCTAACCTATGCTAGAATCTAATCTATATTTTAATTAACAATTGATAATATATGTTAAATGTCCTTTTACAGAGTTCGCAGAGCCATACGCCCTGGTAGTCTTACTTCACAACGATCTCGTGGTGGTGGACTTGCACTCTCCAGGCTACCCATGTTTTGAAAATCCTTATTCGATGGACCTGCATGAGTCGCCCGTCACCTGCTGTACGTACCTGGCCGACTGCCCCGCAGACCTTATCCCAGCCTTCTATTCCGTCGGGGCCCGGGGTCAGAAGCGGCAGGGTTTCAGCGAGAGAGAGTGGCCCATTTGTGGTGGTGAATGGGGCTCAACGTCGTGTAGCTACGCAGAGATGATTATCACCGGGTAAGAATGAGTGTTTAATTAACATCACAATAAACGTCATATTTATTGTATAGTAAAACTCTCTTATTTGTATCTGGATGCATGCGGATACCGGTAACTCTTACTGAACTTTAATTTTAGTGCATTGAAATGGGGGGGAGGGGGGAGGAAATAACCCCTAGAAATTTTCTTAATGTGGCAGTGTCCAGTAACAGTTCTTGATTCTGTATATTAGTTACTATCAATGGTAAATAGTCCTGTAGGATGCATAGGCTTAAGCTTAAGGCCTAGGCTTAAGCCTAAGACCTCCTAAGACCTGCTGGTCTTCGGAGGTCTCTCAAAAATCAGGTGTATAAATAAAAATGCATGTCTTAAAATGCATTATTGTGGTCCTACTTCATGAGAAGTAGAAATAATCACGAGAATCAAAATTCAGAATTGAAATTTAGAACCTTTTGATTTGTAAAGTAATGAATAATTTCCTGACAAATCAAATGTAATTACCTAAGTGTATTTTCAGGATGAGAGCTATGCTCATGGTGTCCTATCTTCCTAGTACTCTTTGTCATATAACGCTTTGAAATTACTGACAGTCTTGGCCTCCACCACCTTCTCCCCTAACTTGTTCCAACCGTCTACCACTCTGTTTACAAAAGTGAATTTTCTTATATTTCTCCGGCAGCTTTGTTTCATTAGTTGAAATCTCTTGTTCTTGAAGTTCCGGGTCTCGGGAATTCTTCCTTATCAATTTTATCGATTTCTGTTACTATTTTATACATAGTGATCATATTGCCTCTTTTTCTTCTATCTTCTAGTTTTGCATATTTAATGCCTCTAACCTCTCCTCGTAGCTCTTGTCCTTCAGTTCAGGGAGCCACTTGGTAGCATGTCTTTGCATCTTTTCCAGATTGTTGACGTGTTTCTTAAGATATTGGCACCATACAACCGCTGCATATTCCAGCTTTGGTCTAACAAAAGTCGTGAACAATTTCTTTAGTATTTCTCCATCCATGTATTTAAAAGCAAATGTATTTTATTAAAAAGTACCTGTATTTAAAAATGTGCCCAAACATTGTGTCTAAATGTACATCAAAGAAAAGTAGTTCAATGTGTCATCTTTCATTCTTGACGTTAGGCGGTTCTTGATTTGTTTGAGAGCAGAAAATGATCTCTCCCCACTACAGTTGGATACCATAAAGCACAGGCACATTCACAGAGAAATATATACATTTTGAAAGATTGAGGAAAGGTTGTTTGACACAATATGCAGTTCAAACCTACATTGAGTTTCAGTATTAGCTGAAGTTATACTCGGTTTCATACTCTCTTTGAGTAGCTCATCCTCCTAAGGTTTCCCAATGTCCAGAAAACGGTCAATTTAAACCTACTATCAGAGGACCCAAAACTGAAAACCGGACAGTATGTCACTTTCACAAGCCACTTCCATTTTCTAGTATGACCATTTTTGGTCTTGTGTAACGCATACGAGCGAAAAACGACGTTTTTGTCAGAGGACAGGTTACTTTGAACTGAATTAGTTAATCCCCAAGGCTGGGTTCCAGATCCTTAGGATAGTATGAAATCAGGCAATGTGCAACCTGCTATATATTACCGCATTGATGACCAAACCACGCATAAGAAAATGGAGAAACAATGATATTTCAGTCCATCTTGGACTATTATCAAGTTGTGTAATGAATTGATATCAACTTGATAATGGTCCAGGATGGACCTCAATGTCATTGTTTCTCTATTTTACGACGTGTGGTTTGGTCATCATATCTTCAGCCACGTTATTGTGACTCGTCATCTGCACATTGCCTCATTCTTCAAGTGGGAAAGATTTGACAAGAATCCATACGTCATGCTCAATTCTGAGCAGGCATTCATCCATTTACTGAAGGTGCTGCACAGCTGATCATTGTCAACTACAAAATTGCAAAAATGATTAAAGCGCTGATCCTGACACTTTGGCGTCCCATGCTGGTCCATCATGAAACTATTTTCACACTGGACTTTCATTTTCTTCACTTCCTTGTAGGTTCACTTACCAGCCTTGACAGTGCTGTTCTTTTCAGATTCTTCAAACAACTCTTTCTCTGTAAAGCAACAAATTATTTTGGTGAATGAAGAGGTTTTACTGCCGCATTCAGATCGTGCTGAATTTTGCAGACTCCTGCTTGTTCGGTGGAAGTGTTCCAGTAGCAACGACCAAAAGCACACCCAGTAAACTGGAAAAAGTACAGACATATGCAACCAAATGGCTTTTGGAATTTAAAAACAAGAGCTACAAGAATAGGCTAGAGGAGTTAAATATACCCAAGCCAGAAGACAAGCAAAACGAGGCGATATTATCACAGTGGACAAAATATTAATGTAAATTAACAAAATTGACAAAGAAGAATTCTTGAAAACTGCAACTTAATAAACAAGAGGACATAGGTTCTAACTAAGGAAACAAATGTGCCGAAAAACATCAGAAAATGCACTTTTGCAAAACAGAGTGGTAGACAGTTGGAACTAATTAAGTGGGAAGCTGTTGGAGACAAAAACTGACAGTAGTTGCAAAGCATTATATGACAAAAAGTACTGGGAAGGCGAGGCACCACAAATGTAGTTTTCATCCAGTAACTACACTTAGGTAATTACTTAGGTAATTACTAGGCCATGACAGAACAAATGTTATTCAACCTGGGACTCGACTGAGTCCACTAAGGAAGTCATCAGTATAATTATTGATATAAGCAGAGAAAGTCAGTTTGTCTCGGACCTTTATCAAGCCCTGAAAATGTTGTTACATTCATTTCATGTGATGTTTGTGAGTTGGGTTATAATCAGTATAAGCTGCGGGTAAACGTTTGTCCAAGCAAACATCCCAAATCAAGGCTTCAACAGTACAGGTGACATCTCTGGAACCTGCTGGTAGAGAAGTAGACGTGGGACCCAAGAGCCTGATGGAAGAAGTGTTTAGGCAGGACTCTAGAGCCTGATGGAAGAAGTGTTTAGACAGGGACCCTAGAGCCTGATGGAAGAAGTGTTTAGACAGGACCCTAGAGCCTGATGGAAGAAGTGTTTAGGCAGGACCCTAGAGCCTGATGGAAGAAGTGTTTAGACAGGACCCTAGAGCCTGATGGAAGAAGTGTTTAGGAGGACCCTAGAGCCTGATGGAAGAAGTGTTTAGGCAGGACTCTAGAGCCTGATGGAAGAAGTGTTTAGACAGGGACCCTAGAGCCTGATGGAAGAAGTGTTTAGACAGGACCCTAGAGCCTGATGGAAGAAGTGTTTAGGCAGGACCCTAGAGCCTGATGGAAGAAGTGTTTAGGCAGGACCCTAGAGCCTGATGGAAGAAGTGTTTAGGCAGGACCCTAGAGCCTGATGGAAGAAGTGTTTAGGCAGGACCTTAGAACCAAAAATGTGCATCTTATCTATGAGCAAATACATAGTTGTGTTGGTGTTGAGCACTTAGATGTTAGAGGAGGCAAAATATGAAATGAAGTCTGTATGCCTCTAATGTCCACATGCTGGCAAGTACTGTAAATGAAGACTAAACAACACGTCAGAAAATGAGGAGACAACGATGTTTTGGTCCATGTATGACTGAGGATGGCCCACAATCGACTTGATAATTGTCCAGGACGGACCAAAACATAGTCGTCTCCTCATTTTCTGGTGTGCGGTTTAGCCTTCACATCTTCAGGCCTGTTATTGTGACTCGTCGTCTGCAAGTGTATATGTGAGATATCGAGAGTTCATTGTTGTATGTAATTGGCTCTGTGTTTACAGGCACGCTGATGGCAGTATTAAATTTTGGGATGCATCCTCGGTCAGTCTACAAGTACTCTACAAACTCAAAACGGCAAAAGTATTTGAGAAACCCAAAACACGAAGCATTGATGGGGATGAGGATCCTTTTGCAATCCAGCATATCTTCCTCTGTCCGGAGTCTCGGTTTCTGTGCGTTGCGGGGGCCACGTCTCATGTTATACTCTTCAAATACTCCAAACAGGAAACCGTTGCAGAAATTTCAGTAAGTTTCTATGCGGTTTCATATTTTTTAAGTCTCTCTGTCTCTGCCAACTTTGCTAGTATTTGTTTCTCTCTAATCTGTCTTTCATTTATCTTGAGTATTTATTTATTTTATTACCGATAATATTTCTGGAGGCTCCATAACCAATCGCACTAATTTGGAGTTGTTTTTTCCATGTTCTCTTTATTAATTTTTATTTATTTATATACAAGAAAGAACATTGGGTTGTGAGTTACATAACATTGGTGTTCTTACATTCTTGCAAAGCCACTAACAAGCATAGTATTTCTTTATCATGCAAGTTTTTTTATTCTGTGTGAAGAACAAGATCCTGTTCCATGTTCTCTCTCAATAGTTAAACTTGTTCTTTCAGTGTCTGGAGATCCCAATCGTGTACGAGGTTTATGAGTCGGGCGACTGTTCGCCGGAGTACGAGTTCCCGCCTCGCCCCACCCTCCAGGTAGTGCATAGCCCCCATCACACCTCGGCTGCAGGGGACACCGATAAAAAATCCTCTGATAAAAAGGGCTACAGTCAGAGTCAGAATCATAGGAAAAAAAAGGGTGTAGGTATTGGTGGTAGTTGGCCGAAGCCAAGGTGTTGTGTCAGTGTCCATGGTGGTTGCATCGTAGAATACTGGGAATGGCGTTCTTCTCCCAGCGGCAGGAAAGTAGTTTGCTCGTTCTTTGCTTAGGAGCCCATTAGAGTTTGGTGGATGGCTCAATAGCTCTCATAGTCAGTGTCACGTTTTTTAAGGAAACTTTAGCAACTAGGAACCTGTAGTTCCCTCTAAATTGTTCAAGATGAAAAAGTGCTGGAATGGCTGTATTGTTAGTAGAAATATTATTCTCCTTAGACAACTTTACATAGTTTTCTATCTTAGAGAAGCAAGTAAGCATGGTCTTATTGATAACTCAATCTTCATAGCTTATTCTGTTGACAAATTTATCGTTAGCAATTGTTCTTTGCAGAAACTGAAATACCATCATGATATTCTCTCTTGCTTTTCTGTGGGGAGCCCCTATGGCTCCCTGGAGCTATCGGGCTAATATGTGATATATTAGACCAGGGCATTAGTCTATGGAGTTCAGCCTACCAGGGACCACGAGCCAGAACCTGGCCCCCTCAGAGAGGTTTCAGGGAGCAATGGCCCTGGAAAACCCCCCTGTGGTTGGGGTTTTCCTTATCTGCCATCGACCGGGGTTAGGCACCCAGAAAGGTAGGCATAACAAAACAAACCCCACATGGTAAGAAAATTACAACCAAAACCGAACAGAGAGGCAGAACTCCCTCAAATATCCCAAGGAAACAAGCAAACGTCACACACTCGCCGTGCCGCTCTTGTCCGCGCAGCCCTCCCCTCCCCCAGGAGGGGAGAGGGGGGAGGAGCCCCGGACCTCCCTGCGCCGGCTACCTAGCACTCCAGTTCGTTAGCTAATGTCATCCGGGGCAGGTCGTCTTCTCTGGCCTCGATTTCCAAGGCAGTGTTTTGCCTTCAGTGGTGTTTTCTGCTGTTGTGCATGGTGTGGTGGCCAGGTGTACCTCATCAGTGTACCGGGGCTGCATGCGCTTAGGGCTTCCTTCCCTAAGTGCCCTGTGAGTACTGCCCTTGGGTGTTAGGGTTCCCTTCCCTGGTGCGTTCGGGATGACCATTTCTGTAGGGGTTTTTGCTGCTTGGCATTTACCCCGCCCTTGGGGCCAGCTGGGGTTTCGTGGCCCTTGTTTGGCCTTGGGTAGGGAGTGGTATCGTGCTGGTTGGGGCATCAAGGTGTTGTGCAGCCTGTGTACCTACACAGCGACCGGTTCCTGTTTCCTCTGGGGATTTTGTACCTTTGCAGATTTTTTTTTTTTTTTTCTTGCCTGGTGGGGGTCTGCCTGGTGTGGCTATAGGTTCACTTATATTATTTTGGTGGCCCTCTGCTAGGCCCCCGTGATTGTACACATCACAGGGGTTTCAGTGTTTTGATCTTCCCCTTGTTAGCTTTGGGTCTTAACCAGTTAGCAACACCTTGCCTGGGCTTCCCATAGCAGTCAGCCTACGGGCCCTAGAAAACCCTGTCGGGGCTCGGTGGACCTATGGATGCGTCTTCCGAGTTCCAGCCCGCCTTGTGTAAGTTCAAAGGTTGCTGTGTGCCATTGTCTCAGGGTGACAGTCACCTCTTTTGCCTCCATCATGCTGCCTGTTGGGTCAACGACACCTTTGACCCAGCGTCTTGCGAGCTGTGTTCTCTTCTTGTTCTCCAGTTCTTTTCTTATGACATTACTGTTAGGGTACAGGCGGTATCTACGTTGTATGCTAGGTTCAGGTTGCTGCAACACGCTAGGTTGGTTGCCCACCCTGATGCCCCGCGGCTGCCTCACTTTGGTTACAGGGACCCAGACCTGGGGGCGTTAGTCGCTTCGACTTTGGTTCAGACTGCGCTCCCTGGTCCTTGCCCTGATTTTAATCCTCCCCTTGCTTCTGGCTCCAAAACATCTGAGGGTTTTGGAGTTGGAACAGTTGGTAATGAGACTCGGGCAGCTTCGTGGGCTGCCCCATTCAGGTGGGGGATGGAGGCACTTGAGCCAGTTCCTCCTACCTAGGCTTCTGGGTCCCACCAGCAGGCCCCATTCTTGTCAACCTTTCCCCTGGACTCTGCATTTTCTTCAGGGGTAGAGAGTATGGAAGACTGCTCTTCATCTTGTCCCGAATTGGGGGATCCCGGGGATGGGGAGGAGTTGATCTGGGGACTTTGGGCCCCATTTGACTTTGCTTGGGTGCTAGTGCCCTCTTTGTGCGGCTTGTAGTTGCAGGGGGAGGGGTTTTCTATCCCCCCCCTTCCCTGTATGAGTATGATTTGGGTTCGGCTCCTCCCCGGGTTCAGTTCCAGGCTCCCTTGGGTTCCTCGGCTCCCATTCTTTCCAGAGGTTTTCTGCCTCGTATCTCCACGCGGGAGGTTCAGGAGGCTTTTACTGCATACCTCCTGCGAGACCCGAATTCCACCTCTATTATGGGTCCGCCCTCTTTTGAGATTGGTACTTCTTCCCCGTATTGGGTGCGTTTGGAGGTTCCGGAGTCTTCCTGGCTGGCAGACTGCCCATTCTTTTCGTTGGGGGCGTGGCATGGGTTCTGTCGGACCCGCACGCTTGAGTGGCGAGAAACTTCTACCGTTCTGCAGGTATACCTGGGTGGAGAGTTTGAGCACCTTAATGCGTGCTTGTTCGCCCCTGTGCTTTCTCGGGATGTTGGCCTTGTGCAGCTGCACATGCAGGTTCCTACCCTTTCGGCATCCTTGGTTGCTGATGATTTGCGCGCCTGTGGGCATTTGTCTTCGGTCTTGCGCTTCTTTTCCCTTCTCGAGCTGTCTTCGGACCTGGCTTGAGGAGGATGTGGAGGCGTTGAGTGCTGGGCCTTCGTCTGGTGTGCTGTCCTCGGCGGCTCGGTCGTCGGCTACACTGTTGAAGCTGTTTGCGCCTATCCTGAAGGAAGTGGTGTCTCTGTTCTTTGTTTATCGCCTCATGTGCCATCAGGCTGTGCTCGCTCCTTCTTTGGAATCTTCTTGGGCCCTGGCTCTTGGGTTTTCATCTCCATTTTGTCCGTTGCTGTTTACAGAGGCTGCTGTCACACAGTTTCTGCAGGCAGCTTCATCTAGTTGTCATAATATGTGGGACTTGATGGTTCTCTGGGGTGGCCATCCTCGGCCTTCTCAGAAGGGTCGTGCCATGGCTCAGGGTTCTGCTGGTCGATGTGGGCCACTGGTGCCAGCTTCTGAGCCGAGCCAGCCGGTCGTTGCCTTCGGAGCTGGTCATCATCTGGTCGGCACAATGATCGCTCTGTTCGTCGGTCGGCTTCTCGTAAGGGGCGTCGGCCCTTTCGCAGTTCGCCCCGTTGACGGGGCAATGGGGGGGGGGCTCGCTCTGTTCGCTCACACTTGGTTCCACGATTTGTGGGCATTTTTGGTCATGTCATCTGGCCTGTGGTGGCGTTGGACGGCTCCTCCTCCTTCCGGGGGTTCTGGGCTGGTGGGGCGGGCTTCTTCCCCTGCTCTTCATCAGGTCATCTTGGAGTGGGTGCGCTTGGGCGTGGTCGAAACGACCCCTTCCCTCAGGTGGGTTTCTCGCCTGTTTCCAGTGCCAAAATGGGACTGTGTGGATCTGAGGGTCATTCTGGACTTGTCCCGTCTGAACCCCTAGATTCCTTTCCTCCTCCTCTTGGATGACCACTCTGTCTCAGGTTTGGCTTCTGTTGGAGCTGGGTGCCTGGATGGTGTCCCTGGACCTCAAGGACGCATATTGGCACGTTCCTATTCATCCGGGGTTCAGGGACTGGTTAGGTTTCGTGGTGGGGCATCAGGCTTACCGCTTTCGTTGCCTTCCTTTTGGCTTGAATCTGGCACCTCGCATATTCACGCGTCTTACCCGGGTTGTGGTTACCCCGTCTGCGTCTGCTAGGGGTTCAGGTCCTGGCCTACCTCGACAACTGGCTGGTGTGGGCTCCCAGTCGGTCCACTTGTCTACTCGCCAGGGGTGTGGTTCTTCCCCAGCTTGCCAAGTAAAGATTCCTAGTGAACTGGAGGAAGTCCCATCTGGTTCCGTTCCAGGTTCAGACCTGGCTGGGTCTTGTTTGGGACTCTCAAACTGCTTCCATGTTTCTCCTTCCGGAGGCATTGCTGTGGCTGCAGTCTCGCCTTCAGCTGTTTCTTGGGGGTGTCCCGGGTCATTTGGCGGTTGCTTGAGCAGTTGTGCTGAGGTCTGAACTTCGCCGTGCTGGTCTACCCACTAGATCAGGTTTGGCTTCAGCGTCTGTTCTGGTTATTTCGGGGACGCCCCTTCCGCCTCTCTCGCGATCGCTGGGTTCGGCCTCCGGGGGCCTTTGCGTCGGTTGCTGCGTCGCCGGCTTCCTCTTCCAGGTTTTCGGGGTTCATTGCCTTGGCGCCTACCTGAACTCTCGTTCGATGTGTTCACGGACTCGTCGTCTCTCGGCTGGGGCTTTGTGACCAGTGCTCACCAGGCCAGCCAGGGGTGATGGGGTCCGTCCTTCTGTCGGGCTCACAGCACAGTGCGGGAGTTCGCGGCGGTTTGGCTGTCGCTTCGGAGGGTTCGGGTCACTCGGGGTTTGACCATCCGGCTCCATTCGGACTGTTCTCCGGTGGTTCATTGCCTGAACCGCAGGGGTTCTCTTCAGTCCTTGCCTCTTTGGGGCTGATCGATTCAAGTGGCTCGTCAGCTGGCTTGTCGGGATTTGTCTCTGTGTGGTTCATATCCGGGGAGTGTGCAACGTCCTGGCGGATGGACTGTCTCAGTTCATTCTTCTGTTCACGGAATAGACGGTCGACTGCCGACTCCTTCCGTTAGCTCTGCCGGACGTTCGGACTCCCGGAGGTGGACCTCTTCGCGTCGGCGTGGTCTCGGCATCTCCCGATCTATGTGGTGCCTTTCCCTCACTGCAAAGGCTGTCACTGTGGACGCCTTTTGGCAGGA